CGCATGTCACATATCACCACATCCAGGTGTTTTTTCTTTTGGTCTTATGTTGACACTTATTAAACATAGCATTATCTTGAATTTTCCTTTCTGATGGGAAAAAATGGTAGAAATGGAAATATATTCTTTCTAATAATAGATCTTCATTGAATACCTACCATGGGCAAAACACTGTGCTAGCAACCATGAAAAGGGCACAGTGATATTGTCTTCATTTTATTAGGATTTGGAGGCCTTAATAAATTTTTAAAATCTTTTATCATATATATATATATAAATATTTTGTGAAATATATACATAATAATCCATGTTTCTAGACATTTTAGGCAGAAAACAACTGTTTAGGAAAGATAAAGATTTTCCCTGGATGGGTTGATTTGTGAAGTGCAGGAAAATTGCCCTTAATGTTTTAATTCCTGAAGTGGGTGGTGGTTAAACAGCAGTTTACTTTATAATCATTTGCTAAGTTGTTTATATATGTGTGTTATACTCTTTTCTGTACATCTGTTATAATTTACAACTAAAAAGGAGTGTGTGTGTGTGGGGGGGAAGATTTCTCCAACCTCAGAATATCTCCTGAACAATGCCTAAAATTCCATTGTTATCAGTTACTTATTTTACTTGATATTTGGCCTCTCCTTTTACTCCTCTTTAAAATGGAGCTGTTCTGTGGCACATAATATGTGAAGACATTAGCCCTTTAGTGAGATGGGTTTGTCAGATCACTCTTCTCTGTAGACTGAGTCTGAGCTAATGTACAAGGAACAATTCTGGGAAGGTGCCATAATGAGGGGAGAAAAATTTGGAAAAAGAAAACTGAGTTAGTATTTCATGTCAACAAAATGGAAAGTAAACCTAAATAATGCATAACCTAAATTTCTTGCCTTTTCAGATTTCAATAACCAACACATAACCTAGCTTTACTGAATTGATTAGCTGTCTTCTCAAATGTGGTGGTATGGTAAAATCTCACTAATTTAAACTAATTAGGAATATAGCTAACGTATAGTATTCTAGAAGTATAGTTTTTACTTTTAAGTGCATATTTAGTAACATAAAGAAAGGTAATAGGGCTGCATGGTTAGTTCATTTGGGAGATTATGGTGCTGATAATACTGAGTTCAGATCCCAGGATGAGTGAGCGACCCCCTCCCCACCAAAAGCTAATAAATATTGCCTCATTAGGACTTTTTTAGGTGGAATGAAATTCTGCCATTTGCAGCATATGGAATTTCATATGGAATGAAATTCTGCCATTCACAGCAACATGGATGAATTTAGAGAAAATTATGTTAAGTGAAATAAGCCAGGCACAGAAAAAGAAATATCACATGTCCTCATTCATAAGTGGGAGGTAAAATATATAAAGACATAATCGCGATAACACATTGAACTTTCACAAAAAAGAGAAGAGAACTGTGATTATTAGAGGTGGAAAAAGGGGAAGGGGAGGGAGGTTAGGTAGAAATTAGTTGAGTCACAAAGATTGATTAACGTTTTGTAAACGAGTATACTAATCCTGATTTGATCACCACATATTGTACACATGTATTGATACTCAAATCTGTATCCCACAAATATATGTAATCAATTATGTTTTGATAAAAAAAAACTGTCAAAAAAGTGTTAGCATGTGAGTATTATATGAATGGATATACTTCAAAAGTGATCCCACTAAGTTAATGCTTTTAGGTGGTGGTTTTTTTTTTTCTCCCATCTAGTCTTGTTTTCCTAGTAAGGCTTTTAAAACCAAACTTGTCCAGTTCATACTAGTTACAGAGTTGGGGAGTACATATAAACAGATCTTTTAGTTATAGTTCACCGTTTTGAATATAAACAACCATGAGTTAGATCGTACTAGTGACAATACCTTACCTCATTTATGCTGTGTATGTGAGAGTTGTATGACCGTTATGTTAGTAAAATAGTCCTGACAGTTGAATGCTTTGTTTTGCAGAAGACTGGCTGCACTGTTTGTGTGCATCTGTGAGAAAAAGCACACACATTTTGTTTTCTTTTCTGAAATTCTTTTGGAAAACCCACCTACCTAGCATTTCATCTTAAAAATTATGATTTGGATTAATATTTGGATCAAATATTGTATCATATATATGTATGTATATTTTCAAATATTTTTGATATATATTTTCAAATATTTTGAAAATACACATACATATATATGATACAATATTTGATCCAAATATTAATCTAAATCATAATGTATGTATATTTTGAAAATATACATACATATATATGATACAATATTTGATCCAAATATTAATCTAAATCATAATGTATGTATATTTTGAAAATATACATACATAGTTTGTGATTTTTCTATTTAAAAATATTCCCCATTTTCATCTACCTCTTTATTAATGGTTGGAAGATTTGGATGGAGGGAAACTGGGTGAATGTGACAATGCAGGCTTGCTTTTCCCAAGGTGACCGGTTGTCAGACTATAATAAGACAAGACTAGTCAGTCTGAAGAGGTGAGGGTTGGAGCAAACTAGCTCTTCTTAAGCTAGTTCCACAGGGCTTTGGTTAACATGACATTCAACTTCATTTGGCACTTTTTCAAGTGGTGTTATTGGCACTGGGTATTCGTCCCTCTGCTGTGTCCCCTGTCTCCCCCAGCCTGTGAAAACAGCCCTAGTACTATGATATAAATGAAAAGGAAGACCCCTTTCATTTATATTATAAATTAGTAATAACCGATGAGAACAATACCATGTTAAAATAAACTTTATTAGGAACAATTAAAAATATTAATGTTAGGGCACACCTACTGTCTGGAACACAAGTGAATTAATCCCTCCTGCCACTATGCTAGCACCATATCACATAGAGTTCCATATGTGAGAAGTAACTCCATCCCAAATCTCTATGCCTGCAGTTTTGAGAATCTGCTTTATGATTTTGATAATGGGCATGTGGTCATGGCAAAAGTGACTCCAACAGTAACTGGCTACTGCCAATGTTTGATAGCACATGGAGTAGTTCAAGGGATTCATTGTGTCCCATGTATCACACCTGGTGGAATTTACCCCAGTGGTATTTTTTTCTAATGCCTGGATTCTAGATGTTCTTCAATTATTGATATTGGTTTCAACATGAGCTTACCTTTAGTGCCCCCTATATCTTCAGGTTCACCTTTCCATTTCAGGATTTCAAAATAAGAACAAAATTCAGATTTTCTCTGTCCAAAGTGTATTCATTAATGTTTATCTTTTCTGATGGGTAGCCAAACATACTTCCAACTGCACTGGATGAAAATTGCTGACTTTGGGGGTGCTCAAATGTTCCTCTTGTCTTTTAGTCTCGGTTGCCCTGGAGAGAAAGGATTCTTTTCTTAGTTGGCTATTGAATGTTGTCTTCATTAGACATCCCTTTCACTTGTCCTCTAAAGAGACTCTCTCTCCTACTGGTGGACTAATGGGTACTATTAAAAACTGTGCTATCTACCTTAAATGAATCATTTTACAGTATATGCATATATTGAAACAACACACTGTATGTACCCCACAATTATGTACAAGTAAATGTTAAAATATTTTGAATAAAAAAGTCTATCTCTCTCATTTGACCCTTAATTTAAGATGACTTTGAATTGTTTGTCGGTGGGCCACAGATAGAAGTATTGTGTGGTTTACAGCTAAGTCTCTGGAGCCAAATTGCTGGGTTTCAAATCTGGCGCCACCACTCATGAGCCGAGAGACCTTAGGAAAGGGCTATTTTTCTTATCTTTAAAAATAAGATAATATTAGTGTCTACTTCATAGGATTATTCTGAAGATTACATGAGTAAAAAGATGTGAAATGCTTGGAACAGCACCTGACACATAGTAAGTGCTCAATAAATATTAGTGCTTACTGCTATTACCAATTCATCTCCATGACTCAAACTCTCAGTGGTTAGTGACGATTCTGCTTTGGATTCAAAAATTCTAACTATGGGCATACCCCTGTAAGATGCAGCTCTGAGGAAGACACACCCGCATGCCACAGAAACTTCATAGGACAAGGTCTGTGGCCATCCATATTGGCTGGCTGGCTTCCCCTGCTCATCAAAACTGCCTCCTCCCAGAGTCAAGTGCATGCACGCTGGAGAGGAGTCGCTGGAGAGGAGTCACTGGAGTCTAAACAGCTCACTCCTGCAGGCTCGTAAGCCTCCGCCCTGAGAATGGGATCCAGGCTTCCTGGGTGGGCCTAGGCACTTCCTCATCTTTGTTTTGATCATCATTTCCAACGTCGTGTCTGCTGTGGACTCCTTCTGCTGGTTCATCTAGGATGAATGCAAATCTGTGGAATAACAGCTTTTAAAAATGCAGTTTTAGATTTTTGTGGATGTTTGCATAAAAAACACATTTGAAAACTTTTTCCTTGTATTAGAGTGATACAGATAACATCTATTTTACCTTTTTTTGCCATTTGCATTATAAGTTGAGATATTTTCAGGTTTGAAATGTATTTTTTGGTTTGGTTTGATTTCAAATGGGGGCTGTCGTGACATGCTGAGAAACTTCTTCACAACATAGTTATTAAGAGCTGATTATTGGCTGGCTGGTTAGCTCAGTTAGTTAGAGTGTGGTGTAACACCAAGGTCAAGGGTTCAGATCCCCATGCTGGCCAACAGCCCAAAAAAAAAAAAAAGCTGATTATTGTTTTATATTCTAATAAATGGCACTAAATATCTTAGAATTTTATCTTAACAGTCTAAAACAAAGAATGTCCATGATGTGGAGACTTAGTTAACTCTTAAATTCTCAGAAGATCATGGCCTAGACCTTTGGGACATTGTTATGTTTAGGATTTAGTACATGTCAAAATATAGTACCTCAGATTTATTGGGTCATTTATTACTTATTTGGAGTTATAATTTATCAATAAAATGTGCCATGATGTCCCTAAAATTGCATTTTACAATAACTCTTGCTTCTTTGTGTTTTCCTTTCACTATCTCCTTTCTCCTACCTTCCCTTCTTTCTCTTTGCTGCTAGGATCAAACAGCATAAATCGGATAACTGCAAACATGGAAAATGGAGAAAATGAAGGAACAACTAAGATTATTGCACCTTCACCAGTAAAAAGGTCAGTGCAGTTAACTGAAGAAACATAACTACATGCTGTCATAAAAACTATTTAATGATTTTCCCTGTTGGCAATGTTAAGTATCTTTTCACTTTGATAATTAATACTTTTGATCCATGGGTTCCAGTTATAAGTCTTTGGGCCAAAGAATTCTTTAAAATGCCAGTGAAATATAAAACATCAGGACTTGCCTCTCTCATTTGAAGAAAATCCTCTTGCTGTCACAGCGTGGTGAGCACACAGATTGTCTGTGGCCTGCATTCTCGGCAGCAAAGTGAAAATTCCATGTGATTTTTAAAATGCCATGATATAATGGACTAACTCAGACGGACTTGTGAAATAAAGTAGATGATATTCATGTTTAATGTACTGTGTTCATTCCAGTGGTGCACTGAACTGTGGCCCTGGAAGGAAAGCTGATAGCATTTAGAGGCGTCAAAGCTTCAGAAGTCAGTGACTGCATATGTATGAAGAGTTGTCATGGTCCTCTGCATCAATTTTCCCAGCGGCATTCCCCAGTGGAAAAACTGTCTCTTAATATATTACATGGATTATTTCCCTGAAAGATCAGCCTTGTTTTCTATTAAGACACTGTTTCAGAGTCATTTTTTCCTCTCTCCAATTACACTCCCGGAACAGCATTATAGACATACAATGAGTAGCTTTCATAAACTCCCTTTCTCTGTGGAGGTTGCTCCACATACATCATGGGGAAGCCTAAGCAATCAGAAATACATGACCTGCAAAAACTTCTTAGGTATCTACTTGATCTTTTGTTATAAGTAATCCTGTCTTCATTCAGCCGGATTGTGGCTACTTTCAGGAATATAGTTTATAATTTAGCAGCAAGATAATTTTAAGATATGAGGATTCTCAGAGTTGGGATGTTTCCCCCAGGGTTTTGCCTACATTTTCTTTTGTTTAGTTCCAGGAAATACCCTTTACAGATTCTCTTTTTAGAATGACACGTTCTTTACCTTTGCATACACTTTAGTTTACTGTATTTCCCTTAGTTGGCCTCCCAAGTGTGGATAGTCAGCTTCATCTGGATCTACAGGGTATGCTTATGGTATATCCAGTGTAAGAACAGTAATTTTCCATGCAATTAAGATTCCAAGCCTTTTTAGAATGTACAGGAGTTTAATCTCCTTTGCAACCACATTTCTGCTGATAGTACTGATACCTGAAGGGCCGCCAGATTTTCCCATTCAAGTAGCAGATGAGAAATAGCTCAGAGAGTGAATGCAATTAACTTGTCACCCAGGATTTCATTATTCTTTAACTTTTTACCTATTCTCTCGATTTCTCTTTCATCTCCCTGTTTCTTTTCCCGATCTCTTCTTTTTCTTTTCCTTGCTTTTTCTTTCTGATTTATTAAACACACACTTTCTACTCTTTTATTAAATATCTACCATATTTCTTACTTTTCCTCATTTCAAAAGGTAATCTTTTACTTTAGGAATTTGATCTTCAGAAGTTTATTAACGTTTATTAAAAATAATATATTGTTCATATATAAAACCTGCCTAGTATCTACTAGTCCTATGAGTTATATGCCTTTGTAAAATATGGAATTTTACAGGCTTATATAAATTCCTGTAAGGATATACTATGCTAAGGTGCAGGTTTATTTTCTTTTTTGGAAATGACCTTGTCATTTTTCCCCTCTTCTGTTTGTTGGCTGTTATAAAGAACTCTGCTACAACCATATTCTAGTATAATTATATAGAAGATTCCTCAACAATCCAGGGTTAAAAGTGGATTAGGAGTTAAGTAGCTCTATCTTTTTCTGAAATTGAGGCTCCTGAGGAAGTGGCAGGTGACACTCCCCTCCCCCACAGTGACGGAAGGCTTCTGATGAGTCCCTTCCTCTGTGTTTCCCCATGTGTTTCTAAAACAGTTTGTAGGGATTAAATAACAATTCAGTTATATTAACATTCTTAGGGCAGAAAGATGATAGTAGGTCAGGAAATAGCATTTGAAAGTCATTCTGATTTGGAAGGATGAAGCCAAGATACGGCGGAAGCTGGGGAAAGGTCAGTTTGGGTAGCCTGGACCTGCCCTGAGCTGACCAACCTGCACTGATTCTGACCCAAGTGCAGAGCCGGGGGTTCTGATCGCTGTGGTAGAGAGCCAACCTCCTGAGTCTGGACACCTACCCCGGTTTCCTTCCTCCCCAGCTTTCTCCTTTTCTTAGCTCTATGATCGCTTTTGCTTCTAATCCTGCAGGTGGAATCTCTTGAAGGATTCTTAACAATTGATGGACCTGGCTTCTGTTGACTTAAAGCAGTAAAACTAGAAAGGAGTGGGGTGGGGTTCGGGGGAGAAGACCCAAAGGTACTTGCTGGAGACATATATTTTTAGGCAGCCTCCTCATGTTCTTTTTTGAATGAGTCACAGGTATAAACAAGCAAATAAACACACACATACACATATTTTAACCTTTGTTAAATAATTTTACTGAAGACATAAGTATGTGAGTTAATGTCTTTTTATTTTCTACTTATTTTCCATACTTTTTTTTTTTAATTAAAGCTTTAAAAAAGCAAAGAATGAAAACAGCCCTGATACACAAAGAAGTAAGTATGTGAGTTAATGTCCTTTTATTTTCTACTTATTTTCCATACTTTTTTTTTTAATTAAAGCTTTAAAAAAGCAAAGAATGAAAACAGCCCTGATACACAAAGAAGCAAAGCACCATGGGAAGAAAATGGCCCCCAGAGGTAAAGGGAATCATTGTTTGTATAAAGGAGAACAGTAGAAAATGGGTTAGCAATTGTGGCTCATTGAATTGAAGAATCTAGCTGCTGTATGGCTGGACAGCTAGAGGTGGACAGGGCACTCAGATTCCTAAATCAGCATGACCGAGGGGAATTTCTGAATTGGCAATTAATAGTATGTTTCTTAACATGAAACTTTCCCAGAAAGACAGAAGGGAAAACTTACATATATTAAGAAATTGAGTGAAAGGCCATGATGATGGTTTAGAGTAAGATAATTTTGAAAATTCAAAATGATATGTTAATGATAATTTTCCCTATTTCATAGTTCTTGTAAAAACATTACTTGGAAACTATAGCTGATGAATAGTGATGCTAGAAGGCCTTTATTCCTAAAAATATGGATATATTTAGTTTCTTTCTGCTCACGACTACCGGACCAGTGACAGACCTGCATTGTAACTTACAGGCTATGTAGCTGTAGTGGTTCCAGATATGACTATCCAGGGGTTCAAGTTCTAGCTCTGCCACTTCCTAGCTATTTTACTTGGGCCACTTGATTAAATATTCTGTATTTCTCTTTTTTTAAATGTCAAATGGGTCTAATACATGTACCTCAGTGCTAAGGGTTGATATGAAGATTAGCTAAGATAGTGAATATAAAGCCTCTAGCTCACTCAGTGCTTAGCAGGTGGGAGGTTCATCAGTAATGGAATTGTGATTATTGTTATCACTTGTGTGTGTCCATGTCTTACTGTTGAAGGTCAGTGAGACAAATCCATTCCTGCAAAACAATGACTTCTATGATTCGATTTACCAGATCTTACCCATCTTCTTTGAATAAATCTTGTCAGCAAAGAGAACCGTGTGCCCATGGTGCATATACCCCTAAAAGCACTAACTGTGCAGTTATGAATGAGTGTCTTGATCAGGGTGAGGGAGTTTGCCTCTCCAGACCCTCTGCAGGCACTTGCTGACCATTCCTCTTTTACTGCAGTGGACTCTACAACTCGCCCAATGACCGCACTAAGTCACCAAAGTTTCCCTACGTGCGTCGCCAAAACCCCTCATGTGGAAGTGATGACTCTGTGCAGCCGGTGAGGAGAAGGTAAGCTGACACAGTTCAAGTGTGTTTCATTTTCACCAGAAGCTTTGAGTCCCAGGCATATTTTTATAACTGGTGATTCTCATAATATTGTTACTGTTTGTCTGCCCAAGATAAGAAGCTTATTCTGTTTAAGACAAACTAGGGATCCTGAAGCATTTATCTTAAACAAACAGAGTTGGATAATCATTTCATAAATATTGATAGAAAGTTGCTTTCTGTATTTTAATTAATACTATTAAGTTAAAAAAAATATATTTACATAATATATACTATTTATTATATAGTATGTGTAATAATTACATAATATAAATAACATATATTAACATGTAAAATATGTTGTGTTTCTACCTGGGAAGATAAAGCTACACTTAAAGATAATTCTTCTTAGCTCCAGACTGATATTGATGCGTAACATGAGTAAAACTCCTTTCAAAGCACAGAGAAAGTGAATCCTGTTATATTTTACCTAGCAGGTCAGAATGTTTGTGTAATTATACTTGTAGGTATATGCTTAGTACAAAAAATATAAAGTCCATATCTGGAAGTTTTGGACTCTGCAAAGCAGGCTGGGCAGTGTGACAGACACACAAGAGGAAGACCTAGAAATGACTTGTTGTGGAATTCATTTGACCCCTACATGGTAGGGATTGAGTTTTACTTTGTGTACCCACAAAATTGATATTTTTTAAGTGACTTTTATAGTATGAGAAGTTCAGATGATGATGTCAGAAACTGTCAAGACTCCATATACGCTGTGGGTTTGGAGCAGAGCCCTTCCCCCCGCGCCCTTGTTTATCCTCACTTGCTCATCCTTGTCCTTTTGATCCCTTCTATTTCCGTTGGTTTCCCAGAGTCTCGTGCCCCAGCTTTCTCTAACCAGATTCCACTTCACTGAAATCCTTTGATGGTTAAGAAGGGAAAAGTCTATATCACCTTCACCTAGTAGGGCTGAGAAGGGGAAGCTAGATCAGGACTAACAGTGATTAGATAGAATGATGGAGTAATCATTGGCATTTGTTTGGTATTTGCCATGTTTCACATACTAAGCAAAGTGTTTGCTATATATTTTCTCACTTGATCCTGTTAACAATAACCCTGTGGGAACTGGCATTTATTTCATTGAGTCATGAGGTATGTCTAGCAGAGAGAGATTAAGCAGGCAATTGATGCAAAGGTGTGAGTGGGATTGAAGGCACAAAAAGCAGAGAGTGGAATAACCCAGAGATCTGGTCACTGTTACTGCCGCTGGACCGGAGGAACACCAGGAAACAAGGGGGTGTTCCCAGAGATCAGAAGCTGCCTCTGCCTATAAGCTGGCACTCCTGAGTCTGTGTTTGCTGTTGGTGTTGCTGTAGGCACCACCATGGATGCTGAGCAGGAACCACTCTTGCTGCCACTGCTGGCTAAAGCCGTGGAACCCCCACTTCTCAAGGGTGTAAGAGTTGATGCTGCAGTTGCTGCCAGAGCAAAATCACTTCTCCTTTTCTCCTACCTTCACATATTACTGGAGTGCCTCTCTATCTGTAACCTAGGTGGCAAGGGAGTCCAGCAAAATACAGATATCAGGCTTTCAGTCTTGGCAGTAGAGGGTTGGTAGGGACTGAGTGTCAGTGAAAAATACCTGGCCTACCATTATCATCTGACTTTTGCAGATAAGAAAACTGGGGCTTAGGGAGATGACAGTAGCTTGTCCTCTCTGGCACATCTGGGATTTGAATCCAGGTCTGTATATGAGAAAACAGTAGGGATAATGAAACCTCACTTAAATAAGTCTCCCTGGCCCTTACTGAGCCTTCTCTTTGGTAAAACCTGGGGTTGGTTCAGCTTGGACACTTAAAACCAAAGCCATACCACTGTGAAATACTTTAAAGTGCATGTGTGTGTGTATGTGTTTTGAGGGGGTATGGGTGTTGGAATGATTATGTATGTTAAGAACTTGGCACTGTATTATTATTAAGTAGGTAAATTTTTATAGTTTTTTAAATCCTTAATTATTGGTGCAATGTGTCAGCACTCTAAATAAAATAATTACATGTGTTGAGCAGATAGTCATTTTAACTTTAATGCATTTCAAAATGGTTTTGTCAATTTTTGCTAGAATATACCAAAATTTACATTGTTTTTTTTCACCAACTAATTGCTTGAAATAGTTTGGAGCGTATACATTCCTAAATCTAGACTTACTGACTTCTATGCTAAGATACATGTTCTGCTGGCTTCCTGTGAAACACAGTGAAGTAATTGTGGAGAGTGGATACAGGATCCTTTCATTGGCACAGTCTGAGGGAAAGACTATTTTACTTTACTTGGAAGAGAATCATTGTGCCTGAGCAGCCCTAGAGCCTTCTGTCTGATTCGGTATGTCACTTGAAGGTCACTTATTGGGCATGCTTATTTTGAGGAGGCCCAGCCATTGCTGCAGGTTGGCCTAGAAGAGCTATAGTGCATTCATCTCTGTTTCTTTCTGCTATGAGTGCCCCCTATAAATGTCCCTGTCCATGTCAGTCTTGTTTTATCATTACATACATTTACCTTGCCACTGGGCACAACTCCCCACATTGCTGGATTAACTGTGACATTTAAAACTGAGATTTGTCATTAGCTTGGAAGAATCTCAAGGACTTAAATTTTTTTTTTTTTTCCTTTTTTGTCTTTTTTCGTGACCGGCAACGGATCGCAACCCTCAGTGTCGCACCCGTACCGGACCGGGACCGGCAACGGGATTGCAACCCTCGGTGTTGCCCCCGCACCGGACCGGGACCGGCAACGGGATTGCAACCCTCAGTGTTGCCC